GGTGTGATTGAATAGTGATTGGATGCAACAGCTGAGGATTAACCAAATTATGTCCCTTTGAGTTTAGATCGACAAACCTTTCTCTCTTAGATTTTAAAAACAAGCTAACTTGTTCAGAATACAGAAGAGCCGCCTTCTTAATATAGGGAGGGATATGCCAGCATGAATCCTAAAAGTGATCAAATACGAATCTGGCATGTACTTTGGCCCAGACTCATGTTATTATCACTAGGATTATGTGGACAAAGGGATAAGAGCACGTATTTGTGGAACTCCTTCTATGTGTCAGGCACTATGGAGTTTTACATACTTATAACCTGCAAGGGAGGTATCATTATCTCCATTATTCTGGTAAGGAAATGGAGTCTCAGAGGTATACTTTGTTGTCCAAAACCACAGTCAGTAAATAATAGAGCTTTGATTTGGGATCCAGGTCTCACTGTGCTTATTATCAAATGTCATACTGTCTTCCAGTATAAGTGTCTCAGTTCATACTTCTCTTGACCTCCCCATAGCCTAACCACAGGGTCACGTGCATAGAAATAATAACTAATGTTTGTTGAGCACTTATTATAGGCCAGTCACTGTTCTAAGTACTTTACATACATTAACAGCCATGTGAACTAGATACTCTTGTTATCCCTGATAATTATGACATTGCAGAATGATGATTTTCTAATTTCATCCTTCCTTCTACATTTATTACTTGTCAATCTACAGCAAGGAAGACTTTCCTCTGCTCCCTTTTGACTTATTAATTTATTTTCAATACAGACTCATGGAATCTTATTTTACTCAATGGCTTATAATCCATAGCTGTCATTATTCATGTTGATGCTTAGATTGTCCCAGACTTTAAAGCCAATGTTCTTAAATTCTCTACCATACTACCTTTGTATCAGATGTTATTCCTCACTGCCTTCAGTTAGTTTGCCTATCTGTAACAACCCTTTTGTATGCTCTTGTGAGAATCTGACAGACTCTGCTATGAATTAAATATACGAGTTTTAAACATGGATTTTAGCTGCTTAGAGACTCTTTTCATTTGTCTTTGGGATCTTAACCCATATCCTAGATAAATTAAATGTGACAACTGCCCATTGCCCACCAAGGAGATCCTTTTAGGTAAGGTAAGTAGACACAGGAGACTCACCTGACCATGTTAGATCAGATGTGAAAGAACTTCAGCTATGTGGGAGATGGATTCTGGTTCTTTGACTTACCAGTGAGGACTGTGTGTTTGTGTGTTTGGGAATTATTGAAATTCATTCATCCACTCCACAGATAATTGAGGCAGGCCCTGCACCTGTTGAAGGAAATGAAATTCAAACCAAGTAGTACAGGGGAAAACCATCAACACTGCTGGTTACAGATACTAAAAAACTAAGAAGAGAAAAACAAAAACTATACTTGGGCTTTTTAATGGTTAAAATAATTTTTTAAAATATTGCCATTTACACCTTCAAAAGCATTAACAGTATTGAAAGTCATTAAGAAAAAGAGTAACATATTCAGAGAAAAAAATGGAAAAAGGACGTGAATAAGGGATTTGTGAAAAAAGAAACACACTGACTGTTAAATATACTTTTTAAAAAGCCCAGCCTCACTAGAGGAGTTCTGGCCAAGATAGAGGCAGATATGCTTTGCCTCCTCACAACAACCAAAAGAAGAAAACAGCCAGTTTTAAAACAGAAAACAACCAGAACTGCCAGAAAATCGAACTGTATGGAAGTCTGACAACCAAGGAGTTAAAGAAGAAACATTCATCCAGACTGGTAGGAGGGGTGGAGATGAGTAGCCTGGGTGGAGAGGAAGCCCGGCAAGGTAGCAGCTGGTGGAGTGGGCAGTCCCACGTTTGCGTGCAGATAAACCAGGAGGAACAACTGAGGAGGAAACAGACCTAGCAACCCAGGATTCCAGTGCAGGCAAAATAAAGCCTCAGAATCTCTGGCTATGAAAACCTGTGGGAGTTGTGGCAGCAAAAGAAATTGCCAGTCTCCTGAAAGTGGGGCAAGAGCTGAACAACCAGCATTGTTCCTTCTCTGACCCCTTCCACACATACAGCACCAGCGCACGGCAAAGTAGGTTGCCCTGCTCTGGTGAATACATGAGGCTCTGCCCCTTACAATGTAACAGGTGCAGCAAGACAAAGAAATATGGCCCAAATGAAAGAACAGATCCAAACTCCAGAAAAAGAACTAAGTGACCAAGAGAGAGCCAACCTATCAGATGTGGGGTTCAAAACACTAGTAATCAGGATACTCACAGAAATAATTGAGTATGGCTGCAAAATAAAGGAAGAAGTGAAGGCTATACAAAAGAAATAAAGCAAAATATACAGGGAACCAACAGTGAAGGGAAGGAAACTGGGACTCAAATAAATGATTTGGAACAAAAGGAAGAAATAAACATTCAGCCGGAACAGAATGAAGAAACAAGAATTTTTAAAAAATTAGGAGAGGCTTAGGAACCTCTCAGACAACTTTAAACTTTCTGACATCTGAATCATAGGCGTATCAGAAGGAGAAGAGGAAGAGCAAGAAACTGAAAACTTATTTGAAAAAATAACGAAAGAAAACTTCCCTAATCTGGCGATGGAACTACATGCAAGTCCAGGAAAACAGAGAATCCCAAAGAAGTTGGATCCAAGGAGAAACACAGCAAGACACATCATAATTAAGTTACCGAAGATTAGAGATAAGGAGAGAATCTTAAAAGCAGCAAGAGAAAAGAGAATTACCTTCAAAGGAGTACCCATAAGACTATCAGCTGATTTTTCAAAAGAAACCTTACAGGCAAGAAGGGGTTGGCAAGAAGTATTCAAAGTCATGAGAGGCAAGGACCTACCTCCAAGATTATTCTATCCAGCAAAGCTGTCATTTAGGATGGAAGAGCAGATTAAGTGCTTCCCAGATAAGGTCAAGTTAAAGGAGTTCATCATCACCAAGCCCTTATTATATGAAATGTTAAAGGGACTTAACTAAGAAAAAGAAGATCAAAACTACAAACAGTAAAATGACAAACTTACAACTATCAACACCTGAACCTAAAAAACAAAAATAAACTAAGCAAACAACTAGAACAGGAACAGGATCAAAGAAGTGGAGATTACATGGAGGGTTATCAGCAGGGATGGGGAGGGGAGAGAATGGGGGAAAGGTACAGAGAATAGGAAACATAATAGGTAGGCACAAAATAGACAGGGGGAGGTTAAGAATAGTATAGGAAATGGAGAAGCCAAAGAACTTATATGTACAACCCATGGACATGAACTAAGGTGGTGGGGAAGGAATGCTGGAGGGAAGGGAAGTACAGTGCGGAGAGGGATAAAGGGGAGGAAAAACATGGGACAACTATAATAGCATGATCAATAAAATATACTTCAAAAAAATTAAAAAATAAATGTCCACTCTCACTAAAAGTCAAAGAAATGCAAATTGAAACAGCAATGTGATTTTATTTTCTGTTTATCAGCTTAACATAGTATGAAAAAGAAAACAACACTATCTTCGTGAAAGGAAAGTACAGCAGTTATTCTCCTTCGTCCTTTGATAGTGAGAGTAAAAATTGGTACAATATTTCTGAAAGATAATTTAATAATATTTATCAAAACTCCTAAAAGTGCTCATACTTTTGACCTTGAATTTCATGTCCTAGGAATTTATGCAAAGGAAATAATCAGAGATATTGTTACTGAAATATTTAATAATCTAATTGTTTTACAATACAGGATTGACTAAGCAAAGTATAGAATAGTCTAGTGGAATACTGTGCAGTCATTAAAAAATAATATGATAGACAAATGTTTAAAACATGGAAAGTATGTGAATATATGTTTATTTAGGGTTTATGTATGATCCTATTTTTATAAAAAAATATTATCTCTGCATTGGAAAAGCTAGAAGGATGTTTTCTTTTTGATTATGTACATTTCTGAATTTCCTATAGAGAACATGAGCCCTTTTTTATTAGGAAAAAAAGAAAACATTAGCAGGAACATTACATAATGGAAGGGAAGCTAACATACACAGAACACTTCGTGGGTCAAGCACTATGCTCAATGCTTTATAAATTCACTTAATATAACCTCACAACAACCCTGTGGGGGCTACTGCCTCTGGTCCTACTCCCTCGAGTCCATTCACATGCAGCCACTGGAGCTGTTCTTCCAAAAGGAAAGGCTTGGAAGGAAACCCACCGAATTATAAACAGCGGTTACCACTGGAACTTAGATTAAGAAGATGGCTATAAGGGGAGAGTTTCATTTTCAATTTATTATTTTAATATGATTTCCATTTTCTTAATTATGTATATCTTTTGAAGTGGGGCGGGGAGCATTTGTTATCATGTCACTTCCCCTTTAAGCCCTTCAGTGCCCTACCTCATCTCCCCCGGTTCTTCCCCTTATCTTCTCTACTCCAACTCCGCTTTCCTCAGGTGAAGTACTGTATTCTTTTGCCTCCAGGATTTGTAAATGCATTGGGTCCTCCCACTTTACCATCCCAAATCTGGCTATTCAGCCTTCATGTTTTCAATACCTTAAATACCACTGGAAGGCCCTTCATGATGCCCTCGCAGTGTCCCACTGAAAATGGTACTTCTTTCATCATAGTTGTTATCACACGTCACTGTAATTTCATGATAAGTTGTTGTCCTTTCCAGAAGACTGTAAACTCCATTAGGGCACAGACCCTAGCACCTGGAACAGTGACTAGAACTTAGCATTGGATAAATAATTGTTGAATAAACACTTGTCTTTTATAGTTGTAGAAACTGAGCCTTAGAGAGGTGTTAGATAGCTTGTCCAGAACATCTCAGCCAGGAAGTTTAAGACCCAGCTTTTCTACTCCTGCCTTTGACACTTGTAGAGTTAATGTTCTTTCCACAGTATCGCTCATGAATAGAGGCAAATCCAGTCCTCAAACATGTGTCAGAACCTGGGTGTCTACTTCCTGGGCCTTTCCTGTTTCTGACACCTCTGTCTTTCTGATTTCTTCAAGTGTGGTACAGGTCCTGCTTGCTGCTGGTGCTGACCCAAACCTTGGGGATGATTTCAGCAGTGTTTACAAGACCGCCAAGGAGCAGGGAATCCATTCTTTGGAAGGTAAGTGTGGACTACCCTGCTGTCCCTGTGACTTCCAGGCAGCCTAGCTTAGCTCTGCCAGCAACTCAGAGAGAAGCCTGCAAGTCCCTTTTCCTCTGGGGACTCATGGATGACCCAAAGAGCTTGGAACAGATGCCCTCCACAGCCCTTTAGGCTTCTATAATTTATGTCACTTCAGAAGTCTTGGGTAGTAGCCCTGGCTGGTGTGGCTCAGTGGATTGAGCGCTGACCTGTAAACCAAAATTCCCAATCAGTGCACATGCATGGGTTTCGTGAGGCAGGTCCCCAGTTGGAGGCGTGCAAGAGCCAACTTATCAGTGTTTCTCTCACACAATTATGTTTCCCTCCCTTGCCCTCTCTCTCAGAATAAATAAATAAAATCTTAAAAAAAAAAAAAAAAGAAGAAGAAGTCTTGGGGAATAAATTAGAGGCTTGACTTCATGAATGGGGTGATGGGAAGGGGAACCTTGCAACTGATGTTCTCCCCAAAACACCTCAGCCTGTGGAGCCACAGGTGAGAGGACAGTGGATCTGTGCCTGAATAATTCAGGCAACTGCATGGAATGTAGATTTGTTCCTTTTCTACTTGCTGCAGACTTACCCTGTCTCATCTCTGCCCCAGAACTAGAAAGCAGCCTCACTGGTTTTCTCAACCTCAGAAATTCCTCAACACTACTCTGAATACTGCTTTTTTCTTCTTCCTATATGTAAAATACCTGTCTCTGGGACTGGCCTTCAACTTATTGTGTGATCCAGGACAAAAATAGCAGACCTTCTCTGTGCCTTTATGTCTGTGCTTATAAAATGGGGTGGTCATCAGTTGTCTACCCGGGGTGTTGTGCAGGTGGTTGTTTGGACTTCTTCAGAAGAAAGTGCTGATCTGCTCCTGTACCAGGGCTTGGTCGCATATCTGTTGGAGGGTATCTGGGCAAGTCAGCCTATGTTGCCTCTGGTGAGTAGTTTGTGAGAGTGGGGTCAAGAAAAAGGCAGGTCACTTTGGCTGCAAACAGAAATGAGTATTTTACATTTGAGCTTTGCTTCTCTAGACTGGCCTCCTTCCTGCCCATTATCCTGGACCACTTGCAGAGGCTGAGATTCCTTTCAGTTTCTAGCAACAGAGCAGCTGAGCAGTGTCTGCTTTAGGGTTGGCAGTGAGGCCAGGGGGACAGACAGCTATGCTGACCACCTGAGGGTCAGAACATTGACCTGGGAGGAGGTTCAGGGGAGCGTGGGCTGTCAAGGAGGCTGCCAGGTTGACGCGAGTGTGATAGCCCAGTGTGTGGAGGTGTCATTCTGCTCCAGCAAGTTTCCTCAAATTGGCAACATGAGGGGGATGTCAAGAGCATCTGAGCACTGCTGCCTGGATGCAGTGTAAAGTTGCCCTTCCCCTCTTCACTTCTCTAAAGCCACTTCTTCTGTCAGGCTCCATTGCTGCAGCTAGTTCCTCCACAAAGCCTTTCCTGTCCTTGGCAATAATTACAACCTGTTCTCAGCTGCTCTTTTGACAGTTCTCTAAATCTTGGCCTTTTTTATGGTTATTTGAACTCTCATCTGCCCATGTCTTTTCTTTCCTCCTCAGCTGACAGTTCCATGTGCAGGGCATGACCTGTGCCTCCTTGCTGTCCCCACTGAACTGGAGGAATTATGTTAACTCTATGTTTCAAACAGAGAAGAATTTCATGAGTACCAGACTTGCCCTATATTTGCAGCCTGATATGAGGGGACTCAGCTTGTGAGCTGTCCTCTCCTCACTCAGACACAGCTTTGCTGCTTGCCTCAGCTCTGTCTTCTGTTCAGGTGCTCTTACCAAAAGACAAGGAGGAACATTTGCTGAGAGGGCAGGGCCAAGAAGAAGGGAAGGGATTATTTGAATGTCTTCTCACCTACTGTCAGGATCCCAGCAGGGCTCAGTAAGTATTTTTGATTTCGTAGAATCTCAGAACAGTGAAGCCATCTAGTCCAACCTCTTCTGTTGTGCTCTCTCCGCCCCCTGCATTCAAGTTTTGTACCCTTGTGTTCTAATAGTTCTGTCCGAATTGATGCTTATAGTCAATATTCTAGATCAGTGGTCAGCAAACTTTTTCTAGAAAAAAACAGATAGTAAGCATTTTAAGCTTTGTGAATTCTTCAGTCTTGGTTGTGACTCCTGAGCTTGGCCATTGTGGTGCAAAAGCAGCCATAGACAATGCACCGATGAGTGTGCATTGATACGTTCCAATAACACTGTTTACAAAAATAGACAACAGGCTGGATTTGACACATAGTCTGTAGTGTACCTATTGTAGATATTTTCTCTTCATTTCTTCTTCCCTCCATCCCCTCCTTCCTTCTTTCCTTCCCTCCATTTGAATTGAAGATTAGCATATAAAGTACATGATGGCAGGGATCTTAACTAACTCAACAGTGCCTAGAAAAATGTCTGCATCGTTCCTTTTCTTTTTTTCGGGGGAGGGACGAGGGGGTCATTCTCCTGAATCTTTCCAACTCTTATGTTAGCCAGCATACATTCTAGGTAGGTAGGTAGATAAACAACAAAAGTATTGGAAAAGGCCATTTATATCCACCATGAAATAAAGGTAAAAATATTAAGTATCTCTTCTTATTTTGTATGACCTACCAATTTAGTGAATAGACTTTCTATGGATTCATTTTTTTATTCAAAATTAATTTAAAATTTTTTATTTTTTACATGTCTGTTTAGCAGTTACTGTTCTAGGCATTTGAGTTAGGCAAGATCCCTGCCATCATTTACTTCATGTCCAGTCTTTTTTTTTTTCTTCAAGATTTTATTTATTTTCAGAGAGAAGGAAAAGGAGGGAGAAAAACATCAATGTGAGAGCGAAACATCGATTGGCTGCCTCATACACACCCCGCCTGGGGACTGAACCCTCGGCCCCAGAATATTCCCTGTCTGGGAATCAAACCGGCGACCTTTCAGTTTGCGGGACAATGCCCAAACCAACTGAGCCACACCAATCAGGGCACATGCTAGTGTTTGATTAAAATGTTTGTAAGGATCCTGTTAAAGTATAGAGCCTTAGGGCACATGATCAAGACAATTTTGAAGTATTATTCAACATTCATAACTGTAAATCTACCAAACTTACTTCTTTTCTATCCTTTATTTCTCTGCCATGTCCACAAAATTTTAAGAGCTTTCCTCAGCTTTCTTGCTAAAATAAAACTATGTTTAGCACTTATCTTATTTTCTTGCCCAGGAACTCTTTCCCAAAAGGATGTTAGGTTATCCTAGCAAGGTCTGGTGACCTCCCCAGGGAACCCATACTAGTGCCTAAGTATTTAAGAATTGTTTAAAAAAAAAAATCTAGAAATTTTTGTCAGGAATCATTGATAAACTCATTGTTCTGTAGTTTTCAAGATCTTCCTTTCTCTGTACTTTTTAAAAAAAATTCCAGACTATCTTTTCATACCACAGTTTTCTGGCAGTTCATCTGCTTTTCCCTGGTATATCAGTTTGGATGTGTTTTGCTCTCCAAATTCATGGGCTCTATGGCTAGAGAGTGACAGTCCTTTAGTATCATCTCAGGGCTTTCTTCTCCACTTAGCAGACTCAGCCTTTAGCTCCTTTTTAGCCATATTTTTCTTTTCTTTTTCTCTTTATAGATATCAGTTCATCCATTCAGCCAATATTATTGATTGCTTTCTATATGCAAGGCACTGTACCCAGCTCTTGATCATTCTCATTGATGAAGTAAACAGAAACAAAAGAATCCTATTATTCTCTTTTTTTTGGATTGGACTGGCTTTTTCATGGGAAGTTATCTCACTTATGAGAATGTATGAGGAGGGTAGAATAGAACAAGAGGTGCAAGCTCCTTGCCCAGAGTCTGTCTAGGCAAATTCACAGTAAAGTCACATGCTCCGTAAGGTTGGACAGTCCCTCACTTTTGGAGCATAGAGTCAGTACCAAAGTCCATCAGATTTCTAGTAGATATTTCTGTGGGCCTTCGCCTTTGCTAAGTGCTAAAGGGAGGTGGTCAGTTGTAATGTGTGATAAGACTTCCCTCAAACCCAATAACATATCCCTTGTCTACCTAATTAGTATTGCGCAGATCAAGACATAAAGTATGTGATGTGTGAATTGTAAAGTGTTCTACAGTTGTAATTGCTTATTAGTTTTACTTATTTGTAATTCAGCATGCATTTACTGAGTATCAGGCACTGTGCCAGATGCTGGAAATACAAAAGTGAATTTACACGGGCTAGCCCCTTAGCAGTTCTCCCAGTCAAGCAAGGCATACCTACTTACAAGGCACCACTGTGCAGAGTGGTAAATGCAAAGGTAGATGCACAAAGAATGTAGGTAGCACTGATGTAGTTAGTGATAAGCTCTTCCTCACAGCAGGCTGGTGTCTGGGAAGTGTCACAGGGTAAGTGACTTTGAATTGGATCTTAAGTTTCCAGGAAGACTAAGGGGGATGAACCTTTCAGGCAGAAGGTGCAACCCATACAAAGACATGGGGTGGGCAGGTAACAGGAGGTAGAATGATCTGCCACAGTCCTGAGAAGAATAGCAAGAAGTAAGAGTGGAGAGGGGATTGGAATGGTTCCACATGGGAAGGATTTTGTAAAGCAGTTCTAGGGAACTCATCCTGTTTTCTGAAAGCCATCAAAGGGTTTTAAGTAGGATTACGCTCAGTTTACATTTGCATTTTAGATGGACCATTCTGACAAGACTGAATATGAATTGGAGGAGAGAGATTAGCAATGACCCTTGACCTTTAGGGGATGATGTACACCCTTTGAGAGTGAGAGGAGAAGCTATGCTTCTCTCCCCCAAAATGCACCTATCATTTATGGTCATTTCTAAAAGTGATCTTTGGAATGGAGAAAATAGATGTTAGAAAAATATTAGAGGGAGGTTCAGTCCTAAGTGTATTGTGCAAATTGATGGAAAAGGAACACCAATGGTGACACCTCAGTTTCTGATTCGGGTAAACAGTGGATGTGTGGTTCTGGAGTTCAAAGGAGAAGTCTGGCAGGAGATAGGAATTTAGGAGTCAACAGCATTTGCTTGGGAGTTAAAACAATGGGTGTGATTGAAACTGCCTAAGGAAAGAAGTTAAAGTAAGATGGGTAAGAGGGTAAGTCCCTTACTTATCCTCCCTTTAAGGTGTGAAGAGGAAAGAGGATTCTGATAAGGAGACCAAAGGGCGTTGGAGAAGTTGCCTTGTATTCTTTCAGAGAGGCTGTATATCTGTTCTGCCTGCTCAGAACAGTCACAGCCTGGAGAGGAAAGAAACTTATGTGCCCTCCTTGCTGAGACTTTGTAATTGGTTGTCCCATTTTTAGTGAAATGCTTCTGTTTTGCCTATGTACTGCACCTTAATAAGGAACCTGGTACTGGAGTAGCTGCTGCCAAGTCTGGCTCTAATGCTGCGTGCCACTGACGCCTACCTGCCATGCACACCCAATCCCTTTTGTTTCTAAGTCCAATATGGCAACTGTCAAGGATCAACGGATTGTGAATCTTAAGGAAGGACAAAGCTCCCAGAGTAAGATTACAGTCATTGGGGCTGGTGCTGTTGGCATGGCCTGTGCCATCAGTATCTTAATGACGGACTTGGCGGATGAATTTGCTCTTATTGATATCATAGAAGACAAATTAAAGGGAGAGATGTTGGATCTCCAGCATGGTAGCCTTTTCCTTAGAACACCAAAAATTGTCTCTGGCAAAGACTATAACATGACTGTAAACTTCAAGCTGATTATGATCACTGCTGGGGCATGTCAGCAAGAGGGAGAAAGCCTTCTTAATTTGGGCCAGTGTAACATGAACATCTTTAAATTCATCATTCCTAATGTAAAATACAGTCCCAACTGCAGGTTGCTTATTGTTTCCAATCCAGTTGATGTCTTGACCTACATGGCTTGGAAGATAAGCTGCTTTCCCAAACACCGTGTTATTGGAAGTGGTTGCAATCTAGATCAGCCCAGTTCCATTACCTAATGGGGGAAAGACTGGCAGTTCACTCATTGAGCTGTCGTGGGTGGGTCTTTGGGGAGCATGGAGACTCTAGTGTGCATGTATGGACTGGAGTGAATATTGCTGGTTTCTCCCTAAAGACTCTGTACCCTGATTTAGGCACTAATGCAGATAATGAACAGAGGAGAGAAGTTTGCAAACAAGTGGTTGACAGTGCTTATGAGGTGATCAAACTGGCACGCTACACATCCTGGGCCACTGGACTATCTGAAGCAGCTTTAGCAGAAAGTATGGTGAAGAATCTTAGGCAGGTGCATCCAGTTTCCACCACGATCAAGGGTCTCTATGGATAAAAGAAGTCATCTTCCTTAGTGTCCCTTGCATCTTGGGACAGAATGGAATCTCAGATGCTGTGAAGGTGACTCTGACCCCTGAGGAAGAGGCCCATTCGAAGAAGAGTGCAGATACACTTTGGGAATCTAGAAAGCTGCATTTGTAAAGTCTTCTAACGTACGACCTCACTGTCTAGGTTACAACTGAATTTTAGTTGGAGATTTTGCATGTTGTCCCTTTTATCTGATCTGTGACTAAAAACATCAGTTTCTTAAGCCCTGCATCCATGTCCTGATGCTGGATGGTACTTACCTTGTGTAGTCCTAAACTGGTTAGTGTGAAATAATTCACCTCTCAAAGGCACCACGGCCAGTGTTGCACATACTACAGTTGCTCTTCAAACTGGATGTGTGTTCACTGTGTGTTATATAACTTGTGGTTCCTTTACCCAAAGTGCCTAGTCCAACTTTTTTTTCTCGAATCAGTCACATCCTGGGGTCCAATGTATAAATCCAGTATTGCATGTCTTGTGCACAGCTGTTCTTAAGGAACCTATTTTGTGTGCTATACGAATCAGATTAATGTACATTGCCATATAACATAAAAAGAAAAGTCTACATATAAATAATGCAGCCAACTATCCGAGTGTCATACCAACTAAAACACCAAATAAACCTTGAACAGTGTTGAGGAGGTGGTATGTACCTGCTCAGCTCAGCACATCACAGTACCTTCCATTCTTGTCAGTGTTTGTGTTTCTGGGTAGGTTTTTTGGTGTAGGCAATGCAGAAATGTTTGGGGTAGAAACCTTGTCAGCCTGACTGTTCGTTCTGTCTGTTCTCTCCAGCCCTCAGAGTAGCACACTCAGAGGCACGACGGTGTCCTGGAGGAAGGTCGGGCTCTTGGTGCCAGGCAGTCAAGTTCATCTAAGCTATGACTAGCTGTGTGATCTTCAGCAAGTGAATTTCAGTTTTCTCCTTTGTATCATAGGGATAACAATACCTATGTTATAGAGTTGTTAGGATGACTAGAAATAATCATATGTAAACATAGCAACCTTTGATTAAGAATTTCTTTTTGGAGGTAGGTTTTGGCTTGGTGTTAGGTAGGCTCAATACTCAGTACCTGCTTTAGAAGTATAGAGCAACTCACCACTCAAGGGGCACTGACAGGCTCGATGTCTGTCCATCAGGGATTCTGTAAAGAGTGTTCTTGCCCTGGGACATTGGATTATATGGCCTCCATGGTCCATGTTAAATTAACCATGTGGTTTTTAAGGTCCTAGAAACTCTGTGCTCACCATCAGAGCAAGTAATGTACTTAAAAGAAGTGGGATTTTACTTGGGCTTCAAAGGGTGAAGAGGAAGGAGGAAAAAAGAAGATTCTAAGCAGGGAATGTGGCTTGAGCAAAGGCACACCACGGAGACACACGTGGAGGGGAGCATGGAGACCACGGCTGCTGCTCTATCAACTCGTTCCCTGGTCCTGGCCACGTTCCTCTCAGTGCCTTGAGCCCCACCCATACCCACCCCAGGAGAGTTCCACTTGTGGCTGGCTGATGGGTGGTGGGCCTCAATCCTCAGGTAGAGGTGGCAGTAAATTAATGGTAACAGAATACAGGTTGCCCAGCCAGGGATGCCGCTGGCTGCTTGTAAGTAACTGTTATAAACATTGGGTGTCGGGCTGTCAGAAATGCAAGCGAGCACTCTGAGCGCCTCTCATATGTACAATTAAAACAATAAAACACGGCAGAAACGTGGCCAGAGAAGACTATAAATCAGCTTCTTGTCTCAGCTCCAAGTGGCAGCTGAATAAAGATGAGTTGTGCAGAAGCTGGGTTGGCATAGGGCCCTTCTGAGGGAAGAGGCCCTGGCTTTCTAGGCTGGACTTACCATAGTCATCCCTGTCAGGTCATGTGGCCCCCTTCCTACAGCTCCAGGGGCTGCAGGGCCTTACCTGCTGTATCTGACCTCCCCATTTCTGTGCCTTCAGATGGGGGACAGGACGGTGCAAGCTGGCGCATCACAAACCAGTGGACAAGTGCCCTGGAATTCAGGAAATGGCTAGGAGTCCCCACTGGCGGTAATGGAACTGCTATCTAATATTTCTCCCCCTCCCCAAGACATGCCAAGGGGTGGTCTCATCCTAGCACATGTATTTTAGTATAAGTTAACCACCCAGCACCCGCTGTGTGCCCAGCTCTACCCAGTCACAGCAGAGAGGATATAAGGCCTGGGAGAGCACAAACTCATATGGGGGAAGTAAGGCTTCTGAGGAAATAAGAGTTGCATAGAGAGCTTGTTGAAACAGATTCCTGGACCCCAGCCCCAGAAATTCTGATGTAGTAGGTCCGGGGTGAGACCTGAGATTCTGCATTACTAACAGACCCTCCCTCTTTGAGTAGCATGAGCTAGACTACAGGTGTTCATTGTGGCCTTATGCTTGAACTGCTTTAAAAACCTCATCTGGACCTCCTACTCCCTGGAAGAGACCTTATTTTGCCACTTCAGCTTCACCCCTAGAGAAGTGTGCTTATGCCTTGTATTATGGGTGTACAGAACACAGTAGACCTGACACCTGGAGCAAATTCAGCACCTCTCAGAGGTTCTGTCTCATTTTTTTAAAATAAAGATTATTGGGAGCATTAGAGATAGTATATTTATCCCTAAAACCAGAACATAGAAGGAATCATTAATATAAGTTTCTGTTTTTATATCATCATCATTGTCCTCATCATACTCTCATGCAGCTTCATGAGAACTTCAGAGTCTTTGGCACAGCCTTCCAAATGCTTTTCAGTGGTAGCAGACTATTACCAACAAAGAGTGAAACATTATTTGGAGTCCAAGGAATGGCTGTCCATCACCTATCTGTGTGACGGACAAGTCTCTGTATCCATCTGAGCCTTGATTATCTCATCTTTAGAGAATATCTCATATACCATAGGATTGTTACAAGGATAAATTGAAGTATTTATGAAAGAACTAACTTGAGTAAATACAAGGTGTCGTGCAAATATAAGGTACTAGAAAAAATGGTAATTAATAATAATTAAGATTGAATACATTACCAAGACAATAGTCAGTAAGGATCAAGTCAGAGGTACAGATAACAAGAACTATCAGAACTGAGAGAAGACAGTCTCTGGCTGAAGCAGTCAAAGAAATAAAGTGGTATTTGAGCCTTGAAGTGTAAGAAGGTTTATGGAGGGCCTGTAGGTGGTTGCATTTGGGTGTGAGCAGAGAAGGGGTGTGTTATGTTCAAAACATTCAGAGATAGGAAACAGAAAAAAAATATGAACTTGTTTGGGTGAAGGATCTGCACAGCAAAAGATTCATTTTAGAGAGTTATGAGCAGTTAATAAACTGGGGTCTGATCAAATGCTCGGACTTTATATCCTTTAGACAGAGAGAAGCCTTGAAGGTCCTAGAGGATAGGGCACCGTGGGAACTGATTCCTCCCAGGATGGAGAAGTAGGAGGAGGTGATAATAAGGTGCTGATAGTGGTGATAGCTGCAGCAGCAGCTGGCAACATTTACTGATACTACGTGCTACAATCCTGTGATATAGGCCCTAAAGGACATTGAGGCAGAGAGACTGGCAAATACCAGCAGAAATGTCTCCTGCTCTTGTAGAGAACCCAGCAACCGTGTCAGTCTCTGTGCTCCCCACATGTACTCAGAACCTCTGGCTTGTCCAAAGTCTTGGAAAGCTTGGGAATCTGCCAAGCCAAAATCTGTTTTGGTAAGTTACTATTTTTTACAACATCTGTGACTCATCCTCATCATTGCAGAGCATTGTTGCACCTCCAGGGCCAGTGGTTCTACATGTCATTTCTTAGCAGTGCTGGCCACTACAGAGTCACCAGGATGGACAACATACTGTCAGTCCATCAGGCCTTTTGGTCAACTTCAAGATTAAGTGTATCAGCCAGTAGGTTAATTGTGCTCATCCTTCTAGCCCTCCAAACCTGTATATATATTTGACTAGGAGAGGGAGATAGACTAGTTGACATGTTTTATTAAAAAGAATACATTTGATGCATTTATAAAAATAAGAAAACATGGGATGGGGTAGCAAAGAACTAGTCTTATGGTTTTTAACTGATTTACATATTTTGTGTATAAATATTTTTTCATCAAAAGTTCCAAATCAGGGATGGGTCCCACACACCACACAAAATATATTAGAGACATTTATATGGATAGCAGGAAGGGAGACAGAGGGCTGAAATTTTCCAGGCACCCAGTGATTGATGGGGGCTGAGGCTCCCCCTGACGCTTTATTGAGTTTCCGATGATTATCTCTCGCTGAGACATTTTTTACAGATGACGGTCGAGCTGTCACAATGGACCATGGGGGAAAAAAAACCCAACAATAATAACACTTTAATCTTTTTACTGCACTGCTCCCTAGTATCTCAGATTCATCTTCCCTGACGCACGCAGTTCATTATTCTGCCCCTCCCTGGATGGGAAATAAAGGAAAATAAATATATATGTAGACACACTTAGCCACATACATACACACACACACACACAGAGTGTATAAAAGAGACCACCTCAGAACCAGAGAAGGGCAGAATTTATTGTTCTTTTTGCAAGTGTTGAGGTTTATTAGTAGAGATGCTGGGTTGGCTTGGAATTGGCTATTAATTACAGCATTTTGTATTTGTTTTTTATTGCGAGTTTTTAACATCTTGAAGAAAAGGCAGAGAAGAGGTAAGCAGGTGTAGAGATGAGAGCACAGAGGGACTAAGTTTGTCCAACCAAGTAGCATAGCTGCCTGAGAGGCAAAAAGAGCAGGCTCCTTCCTCTTGTTGCCAGTCTTGCCTAGAGGATCCCTGGAGCTGAAAGAATACTGCTTTGGTTAGGATTGGGGCAGGGTAGGGACAGTGGGGAGAATGTGAGCTTAGAGTAATGATAGGACACATCAAAGGGACTCTAGGTACCTCCTAACGTGTTACTACTCTGAGAGTTAGGAGAGGAGGGAAGTAGAGGAGGTTCAGATGGAGTGTTGTTGGGTCTATAGATAACAGAGTAACAGATTCTTAAGAGTTTGCCTTATCTTTGAATTTTTAAAAAAAAAAACTCCCATATATCATCAGCTCTCTTCAACAATTAACACATGGCTGACATTGTTTTCTCTATACTCCCTCCCCATCTACTTCCCCGCCATCTCCCATATTATTTTTACCATCTCTGAGACATATCAGTAGCAATATATGAATCTGATTTAGATCTTAATTCAAACAAACTATAAAATTGACATTTATAAAACAACTGGAAATTTAAACATCTTTGAATTTGATGGTGTGATGGTGAAACAGGAGTTCTGGAAAGCTCCACCTGAGTCTCTAGTCACAGGAGGGGTTCCAGGTGAGACGAGATGCCACATTGGTTGTCCAGGGCCATAGGCAGGGTCAACAGCCTATCCCTTGAAGTTCTAGGTCAGCCTTCCTGCTCTCCTCCTTCCCTTCCATGAGAGAAAGAAAAGATGAGCTTAGGGTTCTTATGGGAAGGCTGTACTTGTGTCCCTAGTAGAGGAAGTGCTGACCCAGTCTTCTTTTTAACTCATCAGCAATTTTTTCTGAACTCCTACTATGTGCCAGCTACCACGCTGCATTATGGTAAGGTAAAAATGAGGTGAGCAGGGTCCTGTTCTTAAGTGTTGGGTTGGCTAAAAAGTCCGTTTAGTTTTTTTTATAAAAGACACATTTTTCATTTTAACCAATAACTTTATTGCTTTGGATATTTTGAGTATGTCAGCTATCTCCTGCATGATATAATGTTGATTGTTCTCATTAATGTATCAATTTGATCACTATCAACTTTAACTGGTCTACCCGACCGTGGAGCATCATCCAACGAGGAATCTCCAGGATGAAACTTCACAAACCACTTTTGACACATTTGATCAGTCACACCACCTTCTCCGTACTCTCCACAAATCTTTTCTTTTTTTTTTTTACATTTCAGTTGCATTTTTACCTTTCATAATAATAGATCATAATATGTTGAAAATGTTGCTTATTTTCTTCTATTTTCAGTATTAAAATGGCTACACAAAAATTCATCAATTTCAATTTTTTTTAAATGCACACTGATATGACAGCTCTCACAATACAATCTAACAAAATCATTTTGAATGAAGTTTAAGACAACAAAACCCTACTAGAGGGTTTCCCCATCTTATGAGGGAAAAAACAAACAAACTAACTTTTTGGCCAACCCAGTATAAACCTTCCAGTCCATCAGCAAAGAGCATGGCATGTTTGAGAACCATTTTCAAGCAAGGTCTGGTCTTATCTAGGCCTTCTCTGTATGACCATGAGTACCTTCTCTGTATGAAAGATCAAGAGATCTGTAGGACACAGTATCTATCCTTCAAGAACCTATTTTCTACTTGGGGAGACAGCTTAACAACCATTTACTAAAGAAGTATTTATTGAGCATCTACGATGTTCAAGAGTATACACATGAAGCAATCTAAGAACACATAATACTATGTAAAAGAAAATGTTGTAGATTAGATATTATTGGAATGTATAGTGGAAGGGGAAATCAGTGAAAATCAGGCTGCTTGAATTGTGAAGGATGGGTAAAATACAGATAAATAAAAGGAAATAATAGTGAAGCCGTATATAGAAAAGAGTAAAAGCAAGCCTTGAGGTTGAACAGATGAGCCGTCACTGACTATTGATGGGACCTGAAACAATCTATATAAGCTTTTCTAAGTCCTGGTTTCTTCATTAACAGGAATAATAACAACAGCTTAGTATGGTTCTTGTGAGGAAAATACCAGTATTTGTGAAGTTCCTAGCATAATTCCTGGCACATAATAAATGTTCAACAAATGTAAGCCATTATTTATTATTACTCCAAGAGTTACGTATTTAAATATCTGAATATTGGAAGAAACCTCTTAGTACTGGAATATTAGCCTTCTGACTCACCTGTGACCCTCCACTGAGTATGAAGTGAGCTTCCTGCAATGAGCATGACATATTCTACAGTGTTAGTGTTAGTGGTGACTCTGGCCAGGGTTAAAGTGGCATCAGGAGGAGGGCAGGGCATAATAAT